ACACACACACACACACACACACACACACACACACACACACTGTGAAGCCAGCACTTTCCACTTATCATCCTATCTCTGTCTTCTTGCCTTTTGCAAAGAATGAACGTGCAAGAAATTTCAGTGTCCTTGTTTGTAAATGCTTCAGGAAAGCAACCAGATCTCTCTCCTCTCCTCTAATAGCTTATCCCATGAATTTAAAAATTGCAGACGCTACAAGGATATCTGCACCAAAGAGAGAAAGAAAACTGTTTTTGATTTGCAGTAATATATTCCAAGCGGGTAATCTGAGCTGAGGTGTCACAGTGGAGAAGTCTACGGGGCTTTGCTTTAGCCCGTGGGAAAGAAGCAGAGCTTTAGATGATGACTGAGATGAAAATCCCTAGACCCTGTCCCAGGCTCGAAAAATCCTAGGATTCACCTACTCTTGGAAATTTTGTTTCCGAAGGGAGAAAGCATTCATTTGAATGAATTCGGGAACGTCACACTGTGCCAGCTCTAGCCAAAGAAAGGCCCCAGTGAGCCTTTGGCAGAAATTCCATGATTCCCTCTCCAAATCCTACTTCATTGCCCTTGTAAACTTGCACTTCTCTGTTGCTAGATTGCCTACAACTTTATCCAGCAATCAGAGGCTGAAAGTCACTCCAGCAGGTGCTCTTCTAAAGCTGCTATCAGGAGCCTTACCTGGATTTCCTCACCCACCTGCCTTGTGTGAGCCGGCGGCTAGGATTCAGTCCAAGCTTCTGAGTGTGCCAGCACAGCTGAGCCTCTATTTATGCACCAGGGCACACCTCAATCCCACCCACTAGTGCTGTATTTACTTGTTGCTAACTCAGAAATGAACCTTCCTTTTCCCACTTGATTGTCTTTCCTGGGTTAAAGAGTTCCTTGTTTTTAAAAAAATAGCGTTTCAAAAGCATGCTTTTCAGTATGCATGTTTTTAACTGTTTGTGAAGTACATTGTTAAGAGGTTTTGAAAAGATGGGCAGAGTGCCAAATCCAGGTAGACTTTGAATGAAGACATTTGATTTGCCTGAAGGCTGATTTGTCTTTATGTGATTGGACGGAGTTTGTAGTTAGTAGATTTTTTTTTTTCTCCGTCTTGGACAGATTGCCTTTATTTACTTGAAAACACTCGAGATGATTCACAATTCTGATCCTCACAGTCATATAACCTGCCATACTCCATTATGATAAAAATTATTTTCTATAATACTTCCCCACTCCTCTCAAAAAAATGCACCCGAACTACTACAGGTATGAAAAACAAAACAAAACAAAACAAATCAAGTAACCCATATAATAATTCAAAACTGAGGAAGTATTGGAAAAAAAAAACCAGCCTAATACTGTGAGCCTGTAATAATTGCCTTGCCACTGAATGTGTGCAGCAACTTCCCTCCAAAGAGTTCAAAGGTATTTCACAGATAATCTCTTACTTAAAGGCAAACTTTCCTGGTAGGCAAGCAGGAAGCCATTTCCTCCATTTTTTCAGACCTAAAAGGTAAGGTCTGCAACTATTTTTTTTCCCACTCAGGATTTATTTAATTACTTCCTGAAGATTTTAAAACTGGGATTTCAGTTTTCTCTCTGAAAATTTTAATCCTGTGTTTTGTTTGTGAAGTTGTGTGCAGTCTTTAAAAGCTCAGAATGGAAAATATTTTAACAACAGAAAGTTAACTGGGCTGCAAGCCCTATATAAATGACTTTTAAAAATGAGTTAAGATTGGTCAGGCTCGGTGGCTCATGCCTATAATCCCAGCACTTTGGGAGGCTGTTGAGGTGGGTGGATCACAAGGTCAGGAGATCAAGACCATCCTGGCCAACATGGTCAAACCCATTCTTTACTGAAAATAAAAAAAATTAGCCTGGCATGATGGTCTGCACCTGTAGTCCTAGCTACTCAGGATGCTGAGGCAGGAGAATTGCTTGAACCTGGGAGGTGGCAGTTGCAGCCAGCCAAGATTGTGCTATTGCACTCCAGCCCGCGTGACAAGAGCAAAACTCAGTCTCAAAAAAATAAAATAAATAAATAAAAGAAAGTAAAATAAAATGAGTTAACATCATAATATTTCAAAAACATTTGCAAGTATGTATATTTTTCCAATAAATCTTTGAATTCTGTGGGCAAAACTGTGATTCTCCAAATACTGAATTTCCTTTCAATTCTAAGTGAATTTACAGAAATAATTAATTCAGGACTTTAAAACCAATTATTTGAGCAAAATTCTTAAAACTAGCAGGCCCTTCTATAGACCCTAGGAATATTCAGTTTCATTCCCTCATTTTGCAGATGAATAAATGAAGATAGCAAAAAATTTATAACTTTGTGAAGGTCTCACAACTAGTTTAGGGCAGAGTGGGGACCAAAGTCTTCTAGTCCCCTATCTGCTGAAAGTCAAAAGTGGATGGGATTTGGACTCAGGACTCTGGTCCTGCATCCTGGTACGTGCTGGTCAGATGACCTGCGATCTCATTTAACATTCTCAACACTTCAGTTTCTCCATCTATGATACGGGGATAATATTAACATGTTGGACTGTTTTGAATATTCAATGACTTAAGGACTATTAAATGACTTTTCCCTGTATTGCCATATGGTTTTTCCCTCTGTATCTGTCTGTGTCATTTTTTCTTTTTCTTACAAGGACACCAGCTATATTATATTTGGTCTCAGCCTAATGACCTACCTTAACTTAATTACCTCTGTAAAGACCCTGTTCTGAAGTACTGAGGATAGTACTTTATATTAAGAATTCAACATATAAATTTTTGGGGGGACACAATTCAGCCATAACATTTGGTAAAAATAGCTAATGCATGCTGGGCTTAATACCTAGGTGTTGGGTTGATGTGTGCAGCAAACCACTATGGCACACGTTTACCTATGTAACAAGCCTGCACATCCTGACCATGTACTCCAGAATGTAAAATAGAGTCTTTGAATTGTTATAATTATAGTGATATAATTATTCTATACTCCGGTGCCTAATCTCATGTCAGTAAAATCCCAGAGTTTGTCATAGTTGCTGAGGGATGTCAAGGAGAAGGTAATTATTAGAACATACCTTGCACATACTATTGTGGCTGTGGAGTCTTTGGCATATCTGTCTTGGTGTGAGGTAACTAGAGTTCTGTAGGTGGTATATATAGCATGCTTTGAGACAAGTGGAGGAGGGGTTTTTCTTATATGCTATTAAACCTCATCACTTTTAACAGTGATGCCAAATGATCAGTCCTTCAGATTTGTCTGATGCTGTAAAAATATGTTGCTTTCAGATGGATATTCTGGAAAATACCCGAGTAGGACTTCCTGAAGTAGGATTTGATAATTTGATATACAGGTCTAATATTTAGTAAGTAAAACTAAGCTTGGTACCAAGGACCCTAACAATGGTTGTAATCAAGTGGAAAATATACCTTTGTGTTTTAAGTGTTTATGTCATTATAATTTTAGAGGCATTTATTCAAGCATATTTTATTTTCTTTAATTCAACTTTTATTTTAAATTTAGGGGGTACATATGCAGTTTTATTACATGGGTATATTGCGTGATGCTAAGGTTTGGGGTAGGATTGATCCCGTCACCCAAGTAGTGAGCATAGCACCCAACAGGTAGTTTTTCAGCCCTTTCTCCCTTCTACCCTTTTGGGGTCCCTATCTTTAGCTACTACTAAGTGAGAACATGTGGTATTTGTTTTTCTGTTTCTGCATTAATTTGATTATGACCTCCAGCTGTACCCATATTTAAGCATATTTTACAGTGATTTATTTTCTTTTTTTGGGTTAAATCAGGAGACTTATAACTGGCAATTATTGTGTATCCAGTATGCATGATTAATTGACTCTGGTGTTTCATTTATTCACTCATTCATTTATTGTCTTCACCAAATATTCATTCATTAACTCTGTTTATGTAGCAAATACTGTGCCAGGCATTACAAATATAAAAATGAAAAAGTGACGGTCAGTTATTGATGTAGCCAGACAGATACATAGATAATTGCAATTCAGAGTGATGGGCCATGCTATGGGGAAAACACATAGCAGTTTACATCACTGTTTCTTCTCTAAGTTTACTTACAATCTGATTGAAGAATTAAGATGGAACAACGCTAAAAATTAGCCATTCACGCGAGGATGGCATGCGACAAGAAACAAGTAAGTGGGCTAGACATCGAGTGTGATTATTTTTCAGAGATGGTAGAGATTGCTACCTACTAGAGTGCTCAAACTGATGGCAGAAAGCAAGATTTCCAAATAGAGACAGTGATACAGAATTTGCAAAATGTATTTGTGGGATATTCAAGGATCACTGTTGCTGAAATAAGAGCCGTCTGGGTAGTTCACAGACAGTAGGGTTAGAAAGGTGTTTTGGGCCTATTTGCCTGGGCCTTTAATGCCATTCTAAGTTTAGACTTTACCTTCAAGAGGAAGAATGTGAGGGTTAAGAGGGCGAGCTGTAGATTCTGATTGATTCCAGTTTGAATCTAGCTTCCTGACTATTGCATGTGTTACTAATCCAGGCAACTTACTTAACCTCTCTGTGCTTTAGTGATCTCACTCGTAGGTCTTCCTATCCCTACTTTTTTACTATATAGGATCTGTGGAATATTACATAAAATTATATATATATATATATATATAAAGTGCTTAGAATGGTACATAGCACATAGTAAGCACTCAAAAATATTAGTTATTAATACAGAATGTATTACTTCTTTGTATTACGATCATTTAAGTCTCAGTCTATGACAGCCGAGCCTTTGTTTGATTACCCTTTGATTATAGCCTATCACAAGGCTTAAACTTTTAACACATTTATTGGAAAAATTAATTTGTCATTATACCAATCTCATCAGACTTCATTATTTTCTTTTAAAAAAGTAAAAAGGGGCCGAGCGCGGTGCCTCAAGCCTGTAGCCCCAGCACTTTGGGAGGCCGAGGCGGGTGGATCACGAGGTCAAGAGATCGAGACCATCCTGGTCAACATGGTGAAACCCCGTCTTTACTAAAAATACGAAAATTTAGCTGGGCATGGTGGTGCATGCCTGTAATCCCAGCTACTCAGGAGGCTGAGGCAGGAGAATTGCCTGAACCCAGGAG